ATATATATACACGTCTATATATATTTGATTTAAAATCCATTTCTCTAACATGTTTATGTGGGAGGGGGAGATTATGGAAGAAAATGTGAATCGTCTGTAAGAACTGATTTGAATCCTTTATACATAGATTTGGGGCTGTTTTCTGGAGGAGGCCGTTGGGAACCATTGTGTGATAGCAGGAGAAGGAAGTGTCATGGAGAGTGTCTGAGGAAATGTCCAACAGCTTGAAAGCCTGGCATGGTAAGCTGGGAATTCTGGTGTTGCTCAGAATTGAGACAATAAGGTGCCCCAGGCAACTAGAGCCTCAAGGGACGGTCATGGAAGAGAATGCCACCACTTTTCAAATAAGGAAGGGGAAAACTTTTGTAGAGCCTACCTGTGCTAGGCACATCCATATATCGCCCCGTTAAGTCGCTATGAGAACCTTCTAGGTGTGCAGATGTTTCCAAAGTTACAGGTGAGACCTGAGGTTCTAAAAGGATAAGTGACCTGCCCCAAGTCACACAGGCAGGATGGGATAAAACTGGGGCCGGAGCAAGTGCTTGGGTCACTTCAGAGCCTACAGCGGTTGCTGATTTGGTCTGACAGCCCTTGGCCTGTCATCTACCACAAAGACTTAAATTAGTGACTCCTTCTCTGGGGTGTATGTGTTGACTATGCAGTAGGCCTTGCAGCCTGAGCCTAAGCAATCCCCACTGGTGGATTTGACATGTATGGACGTGCTGGTGAGCAGGTTGGTCAGTGTCAGCAGGATGGCACTCTTGGGGTCGTGCCCCCTTTTGGAGAGGGAGAGTCCATGCCAGGAGCCGACCTGCAGGATGAGAGGCCGTGGTGGCCTCCTTGACTCCATATCCCACCCCATCAGATGCATATCTGTGTCCTAGGAAGGGGTCATTGTAGGTTAAGAGAGAAAACCTTTCATTGAACTTTGAAAGGAACCAGGTGAAAGCATTACTGTCTGGGGACCCTCCTGGAGAACGCAGTCCCTGGAAGGGAGAAATCCCCTTCTGCTCGGCCGTAAACCATCACCCAGGAAAACTCCATGAGAGGGATGAACAGTGTCGGCCCCTGACAGCTGGGGACCTATGGTGAGGACCTGAGACATCTTTGGTGACTTTAAGAATTACCTAAGGGGTGCCTGGGTGGCTCAGTCGGTTGAACATCCGACTTCAGTTGGGGTCATGATATTGCGGTTCATGAATTCGAGCCCTGCATTGGGCTCTGTGCTGATGGCTCAGAGCCTGGAGCCTGCCTCAGAGTCTGTGTCTCCTTTTCTCTCTTCCCCTCCCTCCCCCTCAAAAATAAATAACAATCACACAAAAAAAATTTAAAAATTATCTAAGAGGCTCTTTCTTGGGGGCTGGGGAGACTTTGCCCACGTCATTAACCCAATCTTTCCATCTTCATCAGTTGGTAAGGGCTGGGGAAGATTGGTAAAAATATATATAGCTAGGTTTGAGTTAACTAAAGTTTATTTGCCCAAGAACATTCTCTTCTTGTCTTTTTTTTTTTTT